TTACTCACGAGAGCTCAAAAGGGTGTGGTCATATAACAGTAGTAACTGATTAACCTGAAGTCTGAGGAGTTAATTACGCTCTACTTAATATGATGATTTTATGCCCAAATTTAGCTCTTTTATACTCCAAAGTCCAATCAGAAACCGAGTTAATTTGATTTTAGCTGTTGTAATTGCTACTCGCGAGAGCGTAAAAATATGTCTTGGGCTAATAACTCAACAGCCTGATGCCCAAAATTAGCTCCTTACTCCAAACAGAAACCGAGTTATATCAGAAGTGGAGATGAGTGTGTGTGTTTAGATATTCAGAAAGTCTGCCAAAGCCAGATTTGTTTCTGGTGGATCCCTTGAACCGTTCCAGGTCTCCAACCCCGGCCAGAAGTTGTTTCGAATTTTCTCATTCCATCGAAGCCAAATTATTTTCTGATGGTTCCCTTTATCTATTCTGAGACAAGGTGAGAATCTCAACTCAGTGTTTTCAAAACACTGAGTGGAGATTCTCACTTCGTCAACAATATCATCAAAACAAAGGATTGACCCACTCATAAGAGCGAAGAAAGATTATCAAAACAACAAATACATTGGAAATAATGTACTTACTTGACAGAGTCAGAGGAAGCATTTCTCCCGATTCATTTGCTCATTCTGATGTGCCAAAAACATTCATTATGAAAAGTAACGAAGTGAGAATTAATTAAAGTGAGAATAAGAAATGAATTAGAATTAGAATTAAATTTACACAGCAATACGATAAGAATAAAAATAATTTAAAGAAGCTTCAAACTGCTGTGCAGGACATTCAAGTCAGTCAAAAACTGTTAGAAGAATACCCTTCTAGTATAGGGACATAAAATCAAAACATATAATATGTTATAAGCTATAAGTTAATGAATATGGTACAGTGAGATTTAACATTAAACTTTGGGTATGAAGGTAACCATTAAATTCAAAATGATACGAAAATTACATAGATACCCACTTGGCACTTTTATATTTGCTGTCAGAATTATGTATAGAGAAGTATATAACCATAGAGTGAAAAATGGCAACCGGTCAGACGTGGTAAACGGATAAAGTAAGAGAGACATACGTCATACAGTTCTATACTTCTTTAATTAAGTTAAAATGAGGTAGGCAGTCATAGACTTGCGGCTTAATTTGGTCAGTAAAACACAGGGGACCCTGCTACTTAACAAAAACTCCGAAACACAGAATAAAATCAAAGATCAAGTGAATAACAATATACTTCTAAGTTCTAGGATATTCTATGTGCTGTACTTACTTACTTTACTTGCTTTAAAATGTCTTTGAATGAATTCTTTGCAAAAATGATATTTGTGCCCAGCTTTAATTTAACCAAGCAGTTGAACTTTAAGATAGGTCATAACCTGAGCGATAAATTTGGAAACTTAAGTGATCTGTAATTGCCAATTTACATTAGCAAGGCCCTATCATGTAATTACAGTGTATAATCAAGCACAGAAAATATTCCACTTTAAACTGTTTGATAAAACAAAAGAAACTTCAAGTAGATAATTGCAGTAAAATAGTGGACAATCCTTGGTTTCGAGAGTTTCAAACAAAATTAAAACGTTTATGAAATCAACCAGAAAATAACAGTGAAAAAGCGAATAATATGCGCATAGCGCTCGATTTCTATCGTCAATTCGATTTTTTCATGCGTTTTACGAGTGCGCGGCGTAAAAATCGCGATCTTGATGAACGCTGAGCTAACATTGCTACCCGGTGGATAAAAATTATTTACATCTTGACTAAAACATTGGTATAAAATTTTGTAGAATCGGAGAAAAAAAATTCTGTGCTCGCGCTTGGCGCTTATTACACTGACTATGAGGTAATTACGTTGTGTTGAGAAAAGACAATTTTTTTTTGAGAAAAGACAATTTTATTATTTATCACCAATTCAATAGTTGTCATACGTTGTATGACCCGTCGCGCACGAGTGCGCGGCTCCCCCTGTATCGTCAGGACGATAAAAGTAAAACCTAGTGAAACGACCGTGAGGGTCACGACGTGATACAATTCAATACATAATCAATAAATATATTTCCGAATAAATTTGATTTAAAATTAAATGATACAAGTATGCTAGCAGCTAGCGCGCTTGTATTTGATCAATATACACGCTGTTAAAATGGGTCTTACCACATCGCCACTCACATTAGCACAGTTGGTGAACGGACCCAGGCGCCGCGTTAAGCTTTTATGAGCCATGGTTGACTGCTGAGAGTGGCGACGGGTCTGTTCAGTGCGAGCTACATTTTAATCGGCTGTATCTTCAGTTGTGACGGATATTTTTTGATGCGATAAAAACTGACTGCCAAAGAAATAAAAAACTACTATACTAGCTTCATCCCTTTTTTACCACGGGCTTAATCTATGATCTTACTTATAATTCAGAGAATTTGTTTGTTTGCACGACCACCCACGTGCAAATTAGATGAGAATAAGAAGTTACATAGTAACCATATAAGTAACGGTGTTGGAACGCGCACGTGCACGTACAATGATTGTTTTAACGACATTTTGATGATCAGTTTTGTGGTAATTACTTTGTGTTGAAAGTGTTTTAACATTTAAATTTAAATCGACTGTATCTTCGGTTGGGATGGATGTTTTTTTCATGGATAAAAACTTACTTTCAAAAAAAGCTTTTTATAGTTTCCTCCCTATGACCACGGGTTTTTTAGTATATTATAATTTGAAAGATTATGTTTAATTTTCGTTAGTACGACCGCCCACGTACAAATTAAATAAAAATAGGGGGTTGAACGCGCGTTGTCAGTTGTGCACGTGCACGTGCAAACTGCAAAGATTTGTGAGCGAAATTTTTATCGGTTATTGAGGTAACAACGTAATTACGTTGTGTTCAGTGCGAGCTACATTTTACTATTTTAATCGGCTGTATCTGCAGTTGTGACGGATATTTTTTGATGCGATAAAAGCTGACTACCAAATAATAATATTACTTTCCTCTCAGTGACCACGGGCTCGCCCAAAAAAAGAAAATTCTTAAGTGAAAAGGCCCTTTGGGTATGAAATTGCTCTGAATCGGTGTATTTTTGGACGCTGATCCCGAATCACCCGCCATGACGTAGGGACAGGGTAAAAATGCTTCCCTGGAGAGTTTTAGTAGGAGCGATTTAGTAGGAGCAAAATGGGCTCTTACTAATTCGCTCCTACTAATTCTATTCTATTCGCTCAAAAAACCGTTTTGGTCACGTGACAGGCTAGTGAAACATGAATTCGATTGTTTAGGGCTCAGGTTAGGGTTAGGGTTGTGGTACGGGTTATGGATAGCTTCGGGGTTATGGTTAGGGTTAGGGTTGGGATTAGGGTTTATGTAAAACCGTTTTGTACGGCTGCAAAACCATAAAAACCAAAGTCAGGTGAAATTTTTGGGCGAGCGAATTAGTAAGAGCCGTCACATTTACTAAGCCTGCTGTGGGCATTAGGACATTTAATGTTATTGCAGTCCTCCCATGCACACTGCATGCAAAAACTTTAAATCATCATAACTCAACAAGCTTAGCTCGAGCTCCGTTCTAGCACAACTGTATTTTAAAGTGGATTGTGGATCTATGTACATTATATTTATACTATTGTGGCTGATGATTTGTACTGCCAAACCTAGGTAAGTAGGTAGCAGACAATTGACATTTTTGCCCGTTAAGCCTACTATTTAGCCGCTGATGTTTTGATTTCAACTGCTTCATGCGATGCTTCAATATGTTTTTACTGTGTAAAGAGCTTGTTTTTCAAATGCAGAAGTTTCACTTTTTGTTTCTTTTTAAACAATCATACAATATTTGTATCTAAATGTAATTCACAATAAAATTTATAGCTTCTAAAAATAAAAAGAAAGTTTTAAAAAGTCAATTAGAAGATGCCCGTTAGTTTCACTTTCATGTTTAACTGATCACAAACATTCTGTACATAATTTATTCACAAATATGATATAGTATTATAGAGCAACGAAATTGATATCAAATACCATTAAATTAATTCACAATGTACAGTTCAAACGGTACTACTGTACCGTACAGCCATGAATATAGTCTGGATATCTTAAACTCATCTCACTATGTCTGATCTGTTGTCAAGACGTTGTCAAGACGTTGTCAAGACATTATCAAGACGTTGTCAAGACATTGTCAAGACGTTGTCAAGACGTTATCAAGACAATGTCAAGACATTGTCAAGACGTTGTCAAGACGTTATCAAGACGTTGTCAAGACGTTGTCAAGACGTTGTCAAGACGTTGTCAAGACATTGTCAAGACGTTGTCAAGACGTTGTCAAGACGTTGTCAAGACGTTGTCAAGACGTTGTCAAGACGTTGTCAAGACGTTGTCAAGACGTTGTCAAGACGTTGTCAAGACGTTGTCAAGACGTTGTCAAGACGTTGTCAAGACGTTGTCAAGACGTTGTCAAGACGTTGTCAAGACGTTGTCAAGACGTTGTCAAGACGTTGTCAAGACGTTGTCAAGACGTTGTCAAGACGTTGTCAAGACGTTGTCAAGACGTTGTCAAGACGTTGTCAAGACGTTGTCAAGACGTTGTCAAGACGTTGTCTGACTTTTAACTTAAATTAGCTACTCAGCATTATAAGTCTCTAAAACTTGTTTCGAGTTCAACATCTGGACCTTCAATTTCAATTTCTACAGCTAATTCTTCGATTTCAACAGTTGTGTGTTCCATCTTCGTCAGCTGGAATTTAAATTTTGACAACTGCTCAAAACAATCGTGAAAATCGTCCTGATTTCTTTCTTTTGATAGGAGTTGTTTCGATTTCAGGAGCTGAAGACTCCACTTCGACAGTAGGTGTTTCGAGTTCAACATCTGGTGTTTCGATCTCAACATCTGGTGTTTGAATCTTCTTAGCTGAAATTTCGATTTCTACAGCTGGTGCTTCTATTTGGCCATCTACAGAAGCTTTAGCTTCAGAACTTGGAGAGTCCAATTCTATTTCTGGGGCTTCTATTCCAACAGCTGGTGTTCATCTTCGTCAGCTGGCAGCTCAATTTTGGCGGCTGGTCGAAACAATCGTGAAAATCGTCCCGATTTCTTTCTTTTGATAGGAGTTGTTTTGATTTCAGGACCTGAAGACTCCACTACGACAGTAGGTGTTTCGATTTCAACATCTGGTGTTTCAATCTTATTAGCTGAAATTTCGATTTCTACAGCTGGTGCTTCTATTTGGCCATCTACAGAAGCTTTAGCTTCAGAACTTGGAGAGTCCAATTCTATTTCTGGGGCTTCCATTCCAACCGCTGGTGATCCATCTTCGTCAGCTGGCAGCTCAATTTTGGCGGCTGGTCGAAACAATCGTGAAAATCGTCCCGATTTCTTTCTTTTGATAGGAGTTGTTTTGATTTCAGGACCTGAAGACTCCACTACGACAGTAGGTGTTTCGATTTCAACATCTGGTGTTTCGATTTCAACATCTGGTGTTTCAATCTTATTAGCTGGAATTTCGATTTCTACAGCTGGTGCTTCTATTTGACCATCTACAGAAGCTTTAACTTCAGAACTTGGAGAGTCCAATTCTATTTCTGGGGCTTCCATTCCAACAACTGATGTCCCATCTTCGTCAGCTGGCAGCTCAATTTTGGCGGCTGGTCGAAACAATCGTGAAAATCGTCCCGATTTCTTTCTTTTGATAGGAGTTGTTTTGATTTCAGGACCTGAAGACTCCACTACGACAGTAGGTGTTTCGATTTCAACATCTGGTGTTTCAATCTTATTAGCTGAAATTTCGATTTCTACAGCTGGTGCTTCTATTTGGCCATCTACAGAAGCTTTAGCTTCAGAACTTGGAGAGTCCAATTCTATTTCTGGGGCTTCCATTCCAACCGCTGGTGATCCATCTTCGTCAGCTGGCAGCTCAATTTTGGCGGCTGGTCGAAACAATCGTGAAAATCGTCCCGATTTCTTTCTTTTGATAGGAGTTGTTTCGATTTCAGGACCTGAAGACTCCACTACGACAGTAGGTGTTTCGATTTCAACATCTGGTGTTTCGATTTCAACATCTGGTGTTTCAATCTTATTAGCTGAAATTTCGATTTCTACAGCTGGTGCTTCTATTTGGCCATCTACAGAAGCTTTAGCTTCAGAACTTGGAGAGTTCAATTCTATTTCTGAAGCTTCCATTCCAACAGCTGGTGTTTCATCTTCGTCAGCTGGCAGCTCAATTTTGGTGGCTGGTTGAAACAATCGTGAAAATCGTCCCGATTTTTTTCTTTTGATAGGAGTTGTTTCGATTTCAGGAGCTGAAGACTCCACTTCGACAGTAGGTGTTTCAAGTTCAACATCTGGTGATTCGATTTCAACATCTGGTGATTCGATTTCAACATCTGGTGTTTCAATCTTCTCAGCTGAAATTTCGAGTTCAACATCTGGTGTTTCGAGTTCAACATCTGGTGTTTCAATCTTATTAGCTTGAATTTCGATTTCTACAGCTGGTGCTTCTATTTGACCATCTACAGAAGCTTTAACTTCAGCACTTGGAGAGTCCAATTCTATTTCTGGGGCTTCCATTCCAACAACTGATGTCCCATCTTCGTCAGCTGACAGCTCAATTTTGGCGGCTGGTCGAAACAATCGTGAAAATCGTCCCGATTTCTTTCTTTTGATAGGAGTTGTTTTGATTTCAGGAGCTGAAGACTCCACTTCGACGGTAGGTGTTTCGAGTTCAACATCTGGTGATTCGATTTCAACATCTGGTGATTCGATTTCAACATCTGGTGTTTCAATCTTATTAGCTGGAATTTCGATTTCTACAGCTGGTGCTTCTATTTGACCATCTACAGAAGCTTTAACTTCAGAACTTGGAGAGTCCAATTCTATTTCTGGGGCTTCCATTCCAACAACTGATGTCCCATCTTCGTCAGCTGACAGCTCAATTTTGGCGGTTGGTTGAAACAATCGTGAAAATCGTCCAGATTTTTTTCTTTTGGTAAGAGTTGATTCGATTTCAGGACCTGAAGACTCCACTACGACGGTAGGTGTTTCGAGTTCAACATCTGGTGTTTCAATCTTATTAGCTGGAATTTCGATTTCTACAGCTGGTGCTTCTATTTGGCCATCTACTGAAGGTTTAACTTCAGAACTTGGAGAGTCCAATTCTATTTCTGGGGCTTCCATTCCAACCGCTGGTGATCCATCTTCGTCAGCTGGCAGCTCAATTTTGGCAGCTGGTCGAAACAATCGTGAAAATCGTCCCGATTTCTTTCTTTTGATAGGAGTTGTTTTGATTTCAGGAGCTGAAGACTCCACTTCGACGGTAGTTGTTTCAAGTTCAACATCTGGTGATTCGATTTCAACATCTGGTGTTTCGAGTTCAACATCTGGTGTTTCAATCTTATTAGCTGGAATTTCGATTTCTACAGCTGGTGCTTCTATTTGGCCATCTACTGAACGTTTAACTTCAGAACTTGGAGAGTCCAATTCTATTTCTGGGGCTTCCATTCCAACAGCTGGTGTTTCATCTTCGTCAGCTGGCAGCTCAATTTTGGCGGCTGGTTGAAACAATCGTGAAAATCGTCCCGATTTTTTTCTTTTGATAGGAGTTGATTCGATTTCAGGAGCTGAAGACTCCACTTCGACAGTAGGTGTTTCGAGTTCAACATCTGGTGTTTCGATTGCAACATCTGGTGTTTCAATCTTCTCAGCTGAAATTTCGATTTCTACAGCTGGTGCTTCTATTTGGTTATCTACAGAAGCTTTAGCTTCAGAACTTGGAGAGTCCAATTCTATTTCTGGGGCTTCTATTCCAACAGCTGGTGTTTCATCTTCGTCAGCTGGCAGCTCAATTTTGGTGGCTGGTCGAAACAATCGTGAAAATCGTCCTGATTTCTTTCTTTTGATAGGAGTTGTTTCGATTTCAGGAGCTGAAGACTCCACTTCGACGGTAGGTGTTTCGATTTCAACATCTGGTGTTTCAATCTTCTCAGCTGAAATTTCGATTTCTACAGCTGGTGCTTCTATTTGGCCATCTACTGAAGCTTCAACTTCAAAAGTTGGAGATTCAAATTCGTTTGCAGGGGCTTCCACTTTAAGAGACATTGATTCCTGTTCATCAACTGGTTTTTCAATTTTGGCAGCTGGTCGAAATAATTTTGAAATCTGTTTAGAAGCCTTTCTTTTGAGTGATGTTTTCTTGATTTCGGGAGCTGGTGGTTCCACTTCAAAGACTGACGTTTCGAGATCAACATCTGGTGTATCGATTTCAACGTCTGGTGTATCGATTTCAACGTCTGGTGTATCGATTTCAAGGTCTGGTGTATCGTCCTGTTTTGCTGAAATTTGTATTTTTACAGATGGTACTTCATCTTCAACAGTTAGTGACTCCAATTCAATTGATGGTGCATCCAATTCAAGAGACATTGATTCATGTTCATCAACTGGTTTTTCAATTTTGGCGGTTGGTCGAAACAGTCTTGAAATTCGTTTAGAAGCCCTTCTTTTGAGAGACGTTTTCTTGATTTCGGGAGCTAGAGACTCCACTTCGACGGTAGGTGTTTCGATTTCAACATCTGGTGTTTCAATTATAACATCTGGCGTTTCAACTTGCTCCGCTGAAACATTGTCTACGGCTGGTGCCTCGATTTGGCCATCTACAGAAGCTTTAACTTCAAAAGTTTGAGAGTCCAATTCGATTTTTGGTGCATCCATTTCAAAAGACAGTGGTTTTTCAATTTTGACGGCTGGTCGAAATAATTTTGAAATCCGTTTAGAAGCCCTTCTTTTGAGAGATGTTTTCTTGATTTCGGGAGCTGGAGGTTCCACTTCAACGATTGGTGCTTCGAAATCAAAATCTGGTGTTTCGATTTCAACATCTGTCAATTCAACCTGGTCAGCTGAAATTTTCATTTCCGCAGCTGTTACTTCATCTTCTTCAACATTTGGTGATTCCAATTCATTTGCTGGTGTATCTACTTCAAAAGATAGTGATTCATGTTCATCAGCTGGCATTTCAATTTTGGCAGCTGGTCGAAACAATCTTGAAATCCGTTTAGAAGCCCTTCTTTTGAAGGATTTTATCTTGATTCCGGGAGCAAGAGGTTCCACTTTGACGACTGGTGCTTCGAAATCAACATCTGGTGTATCGATTTCAACATTTGGCAATTCAACCTGGTCAGCTGAAATTTCGATTTTGACTGCTGTTGCTTCGTCGATTTGGCCAACTGCATGTGCTTCAACTTCAATAGTTGGTGATTCCAATTCGATTCCTAATGTTTCAATTTCAACAGGTGTTTCATCTTTGTCAGCTAGCTTTTCAATTTTGGTCGTTGGTTTAAACAATTTTGAAATCCGTTTAGAAGCCCTTCTTTTAAAAGATTTTCTCTCGATTCCGGGAGCTAGAGGTTCCACTTCAACAACTGCAGGCGTTTCGATATTAACATTTGGCAATTCAACCTGGTCAGCTGAAATTTCGATTTTTACTGCTGTTGTTTCGTCGATTTGGCCAACAGCGTGTGCTTCAACTTCAACAGTAATTGGTGATTCCAATTCAATTGCTGGTTCATCCATTTCAAGAGACATTGATTCATGTTCATCAGCTGGCATCTCAACTTTGGCGGCTGGTCGAAACAATTTCGATAATCGTTTAGATGCCCTTCTTTTGAGAGACGTTCTTTTGATTTCAGGAGCTGAAGGTTCCACTTCGACGACTGGTGTTTCGAGATCAACATTTGGTGTATCGATGTCAACGTCTGGAGTTTCAACCTGGTTTGTTGAAATTTCGATTTCTACTGCTAGTGCTTCGTCGATTTGGCCAGCTGCAGCTGCTTCAACTTCAACAGTTGGTGATTCCAATTCAATTGCTGGTTCATTCATTTCAAGAGACATTGATTCATGTTCATCAGCTGGCATCTCAACTTTGGCGGCTGGTCGAAACAATTTCGATAATCGTTTAGATGCCCTTCTTTTAAGAGACGTTCTTTCGATTTCAGGACCTGAAGGTTCCACTTCAATGACCGATGTTTCGAGATCAACATTTGGTGTATCGATGTCAATGTCTGGAGTTTCAACCTGGTTTGTTGAAATTTCGATTTCTACTGCTGGTGCTTCATCGATTTGACCAATTGCAGCTGCTTCTACTTCAACAGTTGGTGATTCCAATTCAATTGCTGGTTCATTCATTTCAAGAGACATTGATTCATGTTCATCAGCTGGCATCTCAATTTTGGCGGCTGGTCGAAATAATTTCGATAATCGTTTAGATGCCCTTCTTTTGAGAGACGTTCTCTTGATTTCGGGAGCTGAAGGTTCCACTTCGACGATCGATGTTTCGAGATCAACATCTGGTGTATCGATGTCAACGTCTGGAGTTTCAACCTGGTTTGTTGAAATTTTGATTTCTACAGCTGATGCGTCGTCGATTTGGCCAATTGCAGCTGTTTCAACTATAACGGTTGGTGATTTCAATTCAATTGCTGGTTCATCCATTTCAAAAGACATTGATTCATGTTCATCAGCTGGCATCTCAATTTTGGCGGCTGGTCGAAACAATTTCGATAATTTTTTAGAAGCCGTCCTTTTGAGAGACGTCCTTTTGATTTCAGGAGCTGATGGCTCCACTTCGACGACTGGTATTTCGAGATCAACATCTGATGTATCGATTTGGCCAGATGCAGCTTCGGATTCAATGATTGGTATTTCAATTTCTACAGTTGGTCCTTCGATTTGACCAGATGCAGCTTCGGCTTCAATAGTTGGTGATTCCAATTCGATTGCTGGTTCATCCATTTCAAGAGACAGTGATTCATGTTCATTAGCTGGCATCTCAATTTTGGCGGCTGGTCGAAACAATTTCGATAATTTTTTAGAAGCCTTTCTTTTGAGAGACGTCCTTTTGATTTCAGGAGCTGATGGCTCCACTTCGACGACTGGTATTTCGAGATCAACATCTGATGTATCGATTTGGCCAGATGCAGCTTCGGATTTAATAGTTGGTGATTCCAATTCGATTGCTGGTTCATCCATTTCAAGAGACAGTGATTCATCTTTGTCAGCTGGCATCTCAACTTTGGCGGCTGGTCGAAACAATTTCGATAATCGTTTAGAGGCCCTTCTTTTGAGGGACGACGTTCTTTTGATTTCAGGAGCTGGTTGTTCTACCTCAACGATTGGTGTTTGAACTTCCATATCTGGTGTATCTATTTCAACCTGAACAGCTGGATATTCGATGTCAACAGCTGGCGTTTCGAAGTCAATTGCTGGTGCTTCGAATTCAACAGCTTGTGTTTCTTTTTGGTTCACTGGACATTTCCTGACTTTTATTTTGAATGGACTGCCCTTGATGTGCTCGTCCTCCCACTTGATGTTGATAGTGTATTTTCCAGCTACTTCTGGGTTGTATCTACAGGTAACTGTCTCCTTCGCTTCCTTCCATTCAGTTACTTGAGATTTGGCTTTGGATCCCTTCACTTCCACACTCAGTATACCGTGTCCAGCATGTTTGTTAAATATTTGAAAGTCACCCTGATCACCCTCAAAACAGTCCATCAATCCCGGACCCTCTGCCCAAATCGCTTTCGCCGTTTCAATTTTAACTGTTGCAGTTGACCTGACCACATTTTCTTCAATTTCCACAGCTGGTGCTTCGATTTCTACAGCTGGTGTTTCAACTTCCACAGTTGGTTCTTCGATTTTGATAGCTGGTGTTTCAATTTCCACAGCTGGTGCTTCGATTTCTACAGCTGGTGTTTCAACTTCCACAGTTGGTTCTTCGATTTTGATAGCTGGTGTTTCAACTTCTACAGAGGGTGCTTCAATTTCGATGGCTGGTGTTTCAATCTCAACAGCTAGTGCTTCGATTTCGATAGCTGGTGTTTCAATCTCAACAGCTGGTGCTTCGATTTCGAAAGCTGGTGTTTCAATCTCAACAGCTGGTGCTTCGATTTCGATAGCTGGTGTTTCAACTTCCACAGCTGGTGCTTCGATTTCTACAGCTGGTGTTTTAACTTCTACAGAGGGTGCTTCGATTTCGATTGCAGGTGCTTCAAATTCGACAAAAGGTGCTTCGATTTCGTAATCTGGTGTTAAAACGTCAACATTTTGTGTTTCAACCAGATCAGCTGGAATCTCGACTTCTACAGATGGTGCTTTGATTTCAACTACTGGTGTTTCAGTTTCTTCAACCGGGTTTTCGATTTCAATGGCAGGTGACTCCAATTCGACAACTGGCTCTCTGATTTCGGCTTCGATTGGTAGCTTTTCAATTTCAAATACTGGTGCTGTAGCATTTAACAAAATGTCTTCGATTTCGAACTTTAGTGTTTCGACTTTAGACTTCATGTCCGTCAGATGGGATGATAATTTTGTTGGCTGGTCGACATCATCGATAGCTGGTATTTTCATACCACCAGCTGGTCTTTCGAATTCAGCAAACGATGTTTCGATTTCGAAATCTGGTGTTAAATCTTCAATATTTGATGTTTCAACCTGGTCAGCTGGAATCTCTATCTCTAAAGCTAGTGCTCCGATTTCGACAGCTGGTGTTTCAAATTCTTCAGCTTGTCTTTCAAATTCAGCAAACGATGCTTCAATTTTGGAATCTGGTGTTGAATCTTCAACATTTGATGTTTCAACCTGGTCAACTGGAATCTCTATCTCTAAATCTGGTGCTTCGATTTCGACAGCTGGTGTTTCAAATTCTTCAGCTTGTCTTTCAAATTCGACAAACGGTGCTTCGATTTCCAAACCTGGTGTTAAATCTTCAACATTTGGTGGTTCAACCTGATCAGCTGGAATCTCTATCTCTAAAGCTGGTGCTTTGATTTCAACAGTTGGTGTTTCAAATTCTTCAGCTTGTCTTTCGAATTCGACAAACGGTGCTTCGATTTCCAAACCTGGTGTTAAATCTTCAACATTTGATGTTTCAACCTGGTCAGCTGGAATCTCTATCTCTAAAGCTGGTGCTTCGATTTCGACAGCTGGTGTTTCAAATTCTTCAGATTGTCTTTCAAATTCGACAAACGGTGCTTCGATTTCCAAATCTGGTGTTAAATCTTCAACATTTGGTGGTTCAACCTGATCAGCTGGAATCTCTATCTCTAAAGCTGGTGCTTCGATTTCAACAGTTGGTGTTTCAAATTCTTCAGCTTGTCTTTCGAATTCGACACACCGTGCTTCGATTTCCAGATTTGGTGTTGTATCTTTAACATTTGATGTTTCAACCTGATCAGCTGGAATCTCTATCTCTAAAGCTGTTGCTTTGATTTCGACATCTGGTATTTTGATTTGAATATCTGGCGTTTCTTTATCCAAAGTCTTTGTTTCCACCTCAGCCTCTGGTCTTTCAGGTTCAAAATCTGGAATTTCGATTTCAAAATCAGCTGTTTTTAATTCGATTGCTGGTGTTTCGATTTCAACATTTGGTGTTTCGATATAAATCGCTGGGGCTTCAAAATCGATTGCTGGTTCTTCGATTTCATTACTTGATGATTCTAATTCGATTGTTGGTTCTTCTATTTCAACATTTGGTGTTTCGATATCAATCGTTGGTGTTTCAAAATCGATTGCTGGTTCTTCGATTTCAACACTTGGTGATTCTAATTCGATTGCTGGTTCTTCGATTTCAACATCTGGTGTTTCGATATCGATTGCTGGATTTTCAAAATCGATTGCTAGTTCTTCGATTTCAACACATGATGATTCTAATTCGATGGCTCGTTCTTTGGTTTCAACATTTGGTGTTTCGATTTCAATAGTTGGTCTTTCGATATTAATAATTGGTGTTTCGAAATCTAATCCTGGTGTTTCTATTCCAAATTCTGGCGTTGCAACTAGGTCAGCTGCAATTTCCATTTCAAAGGTTGGTTCTTTAAATTCGTCGAACGTCATTGCCTTGTAAGCTTCTTCAAAGAAAATCCTGGACTGTTCTAAAAGTTCTTCAAAAACTGGAATTTCGATTTCTGCAGCTGGTGTTCCAAATTCGATTCCTGATGTTCTGAGGTCATCATCTGGTGTTTCTATTTCGAATTCTGGCATTTGAACCTGGTCAGTTGCAATTTCGATTTTATCGGTTCGTGCTTTCATTTCGTCTTCCTTCATTTCCTCATAGGCTTTATCAAAGAAAATCTTGGACTGTTCTAAGAATTCTTCGAAAGCTGGAATTTCGATTTCTACAGCGGGTGTTTCAATTTCAATTGACATCAACTCTTGGTAGGCCTCTCCAAAAAATACTTTTGCCTGTTCTAAGAACTCATCAACATCTGGAAGTTCGATTCCAACATCTGGTGTTTTCATTTCGACTAACATCAGTTCATCATAAGCCTCTTCAAAAAACTTCCTTGCTTTTTCTAAAAACTCTTCATCTTCCTTTGCTGGTTTTTCACTACAATCGTAGATATCATTAAAAATTGGTTTGTCTGACAGTTTGTTTGATTTTAATGACTGTCGTTTGGAAGTCAAGTTCTGGTGCTTCGATTTCACTGTCTGATGTTTCGCTTTCAACATTAAATGTTTCAATCTGATCAGCTGAAATTTAAGTTTCAGCACTTTCAGTGTCTCGAATTTAACTTCTGAAATGGCTTCCTCCAAAGCCTTCACTCCAACATCAGCTGGTGTTTCGTTTTGGAATTTGGAAGATGATGCTTCAAACTTGACCCGCATGTTGTCTATCATAGCCTGAATGTCTATAGATGTTGTACCTCTACCTAACAGTTCTAAATCATTAGCTAATAACTGCTGAGCTGGTGGATGGCTTTCTCAACAGAGGAATTCCGCAATAAATCTTCAAAATGTTCGCTTATCATGTTGATGTCGGTGGCTGCAGGCACCACAAAGTTTGATATCTCCAGGTTTACCTCCTCGATTGTTTTAGCAAAATGTTCTTTGGCTGTTTGGAGCTGGTCTCTGAGTACGTCTACCATTTCAGCTGAAATATAACATGCGTTCAAATTATGTAAGGAAAAAAATTGAAAACTAGTCTGTATTAAATTCTGTTTGAAATCCGATTATTCAATATCCCAACATGAATAGAAATTCAGAGGTATCACGTTAATTTAAGTATTTACTTTATCATTATTTTATTTATCAACGTCATACCTGCAAGAGACGTCTTCAAGCTCAGATTTAATTTCACATTCTTACTCATTTGTGCTGCTGACTCAGGCTCTGAAATGAAAGATGGATAACTCGCATGAAAAAAAATATCCTCGGGGCTAATTTGCCATTTGCTTCCAGTCCCTGGCATAGTTCAATTAACATAGAGCAATGTCAATTTACTCTAGAAGAACTTATTCTAGTAGAGCAAAGAAGAATATTGAAGAAGGCAAAGCTTAAACTCTTAAAGTCATGAAGATATGTCACCTGAGGTTATGATGGATGACGGGTACAGATGAAGTAACACTCGAATGAGTTACAGTATACCATCTGCAAAGCTACAGGTCTGAACTATAATACGTGGCTATTTTATAAGACCCAACGTTTGTGTACTGACCCCCCCCCCCCCCCCCCCCCCTCTGTTAAGAGAACTCTAATTAGAGCTCTGAGTAAGATGCTGCTAAACAGAATTTAGCTTAGTCTTGTACAATATAAGTGCAATCGTAATGCCAATGGCTTTAGACTAGGGTGCTCTACAACCTTACAACATCAAACATTTTTGCCTTACAAAAGCTCAAAGGCACTTTAAAAGCCTAGAAACTCAAAGAAATCAAGACCACAATGGTGTTTATTGATTGTGAAACACTGCCTGACTGTGTATAGAGTTCGCCAGACTCTACAAGTATTTTCTATACTATTGTATCCTGAATATCCATTCCCCAGTCACCTACTTGAGATGATAGAAGAGTCATTAAATGCGTCACGAGGATAATGACAAAATTATTCTCCAAATTGCGGCATAATTATAGAAAGAGTCAAATCCAGGGTCAATAAAAAAGAGGCCATAGTAAGAAGTTCAGCTAGACGGCACGTAACGCGTAATACATTACGGTATGGAGTCCTCGTTTTAGTTAGACGGAACGTGCTGCGGATAGATCACAGAACGCAGTACGTATGAGTCATACTATGTAACTATCACGTAGTTAGTATCACTGAAACTGATCCGGCCTTTTGTTCTAGCTAGAAGTAGCCGGCACTTACTGCAGATAGCCCGCAGGACGAGATGGAGTTTTTCATCTTAGCTAGAAGGCATGTAACGCGTTACACGTATAGTAACACTTTACGTAACGCGTTACACGTATAGTAACGTATAGTAACGCGTTACACGTATAGTAACGCGTTACACGTATAGTAACGCGTTACGTGATCTTATTCTTAAAGTTAAACATTGATGAACTGGTCAATACATGTTGAGTTCTTCCGGAATGTAAAATTTTAGATGCAACACAAGTTTGGTTAATAAACTAATAAACCAGCACTTACATAATATATAACACTTGTCTATAAAACACTTTGATCAAGGAAGGAGGAAACAAAACAAGCACACTGAACAAAACTTACGTTCCAAGAACAAATAAACAATTATCCTCACACTAATCATAGCTGGCTCTTTCAATGACGAGCAATGGAGAAATGTATTCCGTGTAAAATTTTTCCATATGTTTTTTACGTTTTGAATTTTTAACACTTGTTTTTAGATCATGAATACGATGTAGTTACATTGAAACGTCGAGTAAACTCCTTTCCCTAATAAGAGCATTTTTACTTGTCGCAACAACCGGGATAAAGATAATTTTACACGGAATACATTACAACAATGCGACTCATAAATAATACTCTAATCCGGATTTTACAATGGAGAAATCATTGGATCTCATTGATGCTGGACTTGTCAATGACGAGTCGTGAAGAAATCTTATCCAATGTTTCGATCACGTAACTCGTTACATTTCGTTTAGCTATGATCTCTTCACGTGACACGGTCTGAGGTGCTAACTAGACGGCACGTACTGCAGTACGAGATGGAGTATTTGGTCCTAACAAGAGATGGTTTAATATTATAATAAAGTGATAAGATTACGTTGCCCTCATCACTGTTGCATATTATTAGGGGCAAAACTACTCCTGGGTATACTGGAAAAGCAGCACTATAATGTATGGTGAGCCAAAGATTAGTTTGTTCAGTACTCAGTAGTAGTAGTACTGTAGTAGTACTGAAACCAACTGGTAAAGTTGAAAGAAGGAAAGTAGGATGAGATTAGCGAATAGCGGGCCACTGTCCAGCGCCATCAACACATAGCATGTTACTATGGAAGCCCAATCGTGGAATAAGAAATAAGGAAGACAAAGGAGTAGCCATGACTCATGTGGACGGCTTTGTAACTGTTACCGGACAAAATGACACTGGGGAAATCAAAGAAAATTCACTTTGGTAAAGGATTTTATAGGGTTTTTTGGAAACAACTAATGCAACTCTACCATTAGTTACTGAGAGCCTGCTCTTACTACATAATGTGTATAATTATACACTGTACATATGTTTTATGGAGACAACTAACAACTGAGAGCCTGTTCTTACTACACAATCAAAGTAAAACAAAATGTGTATATAACTGTATATACTGTATATAACCTTACTTTATATACCCTAGCTCTATATATATATATATACTAAGTCTGTAGGTTGTACCTGACAAGCAAAGATGTGAACCTATTTACGTTAATGTATAACTATATTCTGTGTAAAAAGTACCAACCGTCATTATTAATGCTGTCTAGCGACGACGATGAATTACTGTAACTTCGCCCCCTCATCTGTAAAGTTTCATTCCTTTTAGTTTTCTTTAGTTTCTTCCTCTAAGTGAGATACTAAGTTTAAAGTCACATTTTTGTAAAAATACCAAATAATGTGTAAATTCCATTTAATCACAAGTTGGAAAATGTAAAAGTTTGAGATGCCGAACCGAACACGGCTGCATATTAATCACGTTTATTTCTTCCGATATATAGAATATTGCAAATGTGAAACATCGTGATGTCTGATTATTGAACCGAAGGGATAATGATCTGAAACCGCTGCAAAACAAACAAACAAAAAACAGAAACAAAGTTAAACAGCGTCAGATAAAGAAATAAACAGGAAAGAGCAAAAACAGGGTGAGAAAAATAGGAGGAAGACATGACCTCATACCACGAGTGCATCTTAAACTACTATAAGTACTCTAGTACTATGAGTCATAGTACTAGTCGTTTATGATGCGTTTTCAACAAGCCATTTTGAAGAAAAGTGATGTATAACATACAGGTGATGAAAGTCAGCGTATTACGGGTTGTAACTGGCGGTATCCTTGTATTGTAATTAGTATGATATCATGTTCCAGGTTTAAGCCATTAAATAATGGAGGGATTTGATTATTACGCCATGTTCATTGTTCATGATTGCGTTCCGATCTTGCCAGATTAGAGTGGGTTAATGTGGAGGAATAATGTAAGCAGCACGCTATCGTATAGACTATAATAGATAATGGATTACTAGAGAAACCCATTTAATTGTTTCGTAGTGAAATTAATTACACCATCTGTCAGTACAATATAATATATAACACACAGTACAATGAATATAACACACAAAACGCCAGCACATACACGGGTTGTATTTCAGCTTAAAGTGCGTAGCACGAGGGGTTTTGTGTTAAAAACTCCTCCCGGGATACTGCTGGGAGTAATTCATTCTGCAATTCACCTTTCATTCTTTGGGTTCAGTATGGACAGTGAAATTGGAGAAGTAAGAGAATATTCGAGCTTTTTCTGCATTTAGAATTTTTAAAAGTCCTTCTTGGCTGGCTACACCTGTTTAAAGCACTTCCATCCCATTGCATAATACTAAATAAATGTAATAGATTCGCAAAATTCTCTGTGAGTCGCGATTACGATTATGCTACTGAGAATAAGTTTCAAGCAGCCAACGAATTCTCAACAGATGATCTGGATATAATGATTTACAGGATCAAGTTACAGATGCATTTAAATAGATGCTGTACAAATGAAAGCGGATTTCCTTCAATTGACTGTCGATGAACTATATGCAGACTTGTTAGGAACACGAATGCGGAAATGAAACATAACGATAGCGGATGGTGCTGCAGTTTTCTGAAAAAAAGTGCTTAAAAGCCTAAAGACCACTAAAATCCAAGGTTTTCAAACGCTTTTGGCATATTTAAGACAAATTTTGGCATTTTAAGCGGTTTCTTTAAAAAATGATATAGGAGAACTGACCGCAGACGGCAGATATTTCTAAACTCTGCAATGTCAATGAAAATTTCAATTATCTCGTGAACATTTTTAACCGAATGAAAGCTGATGATGAAATCCGAAAATGAAGAAGGGAAATTAGATATCGATGAAAATGACTCTAAAGATTATTCAGAATCAAAAAGGGCACCGGACAGCGGGACAGCCAGAATTAGAAAGCACACCAAAACAGGAAAAAAGCGTGTTGGCAAAAAGTCTACTCGGTGTGGTGAGTATGGTGAGACAAATAAGCCTTGTGACCTGGGATAAACAATAAACATGTGCCTAGAAATAGACCTACAAACATATATAAGCCTTGTGACCACGTGACCACGAGCCTTGTGACCTGGGATAAACACGTGACCTTGGATAAACACGTGACCAGAACTAGAACTGATGGGCGTTATGAATTGCCGTGACTATGAGGGATTTTTCAT